CCTTTGGCACCTCTGCACTGTCCCTCAACTCCTCTGCACTGTCATTGAATCGTTGAGTCATACAGAACAGAAACAGGCCCTTCAGCCCAAATTATCAATGCCAACCGGATTTCCTAAACTGAACTAGTCCCATTTGCCTGCATTTAACCCATATCCCTCTAAACTTTTTCTATCCATGTACCTGTCCAAATGTCTTACATATGTTGTAATTGTACCTGCCTCTACCACTTCCTTTGGCTGCTCATTCTACCAGCACTCTCTGTATGAAAATATTCCCTTTTAAATCCTTCAACTCTTCTGCACAGGCCCTCAATCCCAGTACTGTCTCTTGGCTCCACTGGACTGTCCCTCAACTCTTGTGCGAAGTTCCTCAGCTCCTCTGCACTGTCCCTCAGCCTCTTTCACACTCTCCTTCAGCTTCTCCATGCTGTCCATCAGCTCCTTAATCCCTGCGCACTCTCACTCAAGTACTCCGTGCTTACCACAGCTCCTATGCACTGTCTGTCACATTTATTGCACTCTCATTTAGCTCTTCTGCACTGTTCCTCATCTCCTCACTGCTCCACGGCCACCCTGCTCCCCTGCACTATCCCTCAACTCCTCTGCACTGTCCTTCAGCTCTTCTGCACTGTTTGTCAGCTCTGTTGCACTCTCACTCAGCTTCTCCATGCTGTCTGTCAGCTCCTCCTTGCTGACCTTCAGCTCCTTTCACCTGCACACTGTCCGTCAGCTCCTGTCACCTGTGCAAGTCACTCGTCTCTTCTGCCCTGTCTCTCGCCTTCTCTGCCCTGTTCTTCAGCTCCTCTGCACGATCCCTCAGCTCTTCCAACTGTCACTCAGCTCCTTGGCAGTTTGTCTCCACTCCTCCGCACTGTCCCTCGATTCTTCCACACTTCTACTCAGCTCCTCTGTATTATACCCAAGCTCCTCACTCCTCCATGGAGACGTTTCCCACCTGCACTGTCTCTCAGCTCCTCTGTACTGTGCCTCATCTCCTTCTGCGCTGTTCCTCACTTTACCCGTGCTGTCCCTCACTTCCTCCATGCTGTCCTTTAGCTCTTCCATGATGAACTTCAGCCTGTGAGTACAGTGTTCTCCTCTCTCATTTTTGCAGCAGTTTTCACTGTTCAGGATAGTATCTCCACAATGGTTGATCTTCTCCCCAGGTTTTGAGTCCTTGCCTGGATAGCTTCCCTTGAATGGTCTGAGACATGACAGCCCATCATCTCTATGCACCATGTGTTTAATTTTCAAGATACCATCAAATTCCATTAAACTGAATGCAAATGAGATGTCAATACCTGTATAATTGGTTCAATCAGAGGGCAAGATGTAATGTAATTGATAAAAGAAGCAATTGTGCCATAAGGAAAAATGAGTTCATGCAGCGAGTGGTCAGGATCTGGAATACACAGACAAGGAACAATAAACAGGGTTATGGGAAGGATTCCTCACTTGGACAACAGCTGCTGACACAAGGAGCTGAGCAGCCTCCTTCTGCACTATAATAATACTGTGATTCTGCGAATCACTTCCTACTGCGTCTGCCCATCATCATCACCTAGATGCCTCATCAACACCAGCACAATGTAGTCATGAGGTTCCAGCATCAGGCTTGTGAAGTAACATCTCCTGACCATGTGGATACACACTCACGCTGGCCTCAGTCCCTGCTCCATTAAGCTCTATAGAGTCATTAATGTCTACAGCACAGAAAACGGCCCTTCAATTCATTGAGTCTACACTGATTCAAATACAACTGCCTAACTATGCTAATATAATTTTCCTGCATTTGGCCCATATCCTTGGCATAGCAACTGCACATCTAAATACTCCTGAAATGCTATGGGGGTTTCTGGCCCTACCACACTTACGGGCCATGAGTACCAGAATCCCATCACACTCTGGGTGAAAACATTTTTCATTATATCCCCTTTAAACCTCCTGTCCCTTACCTTAAAATTTATGCCTCTTGGTCATTGATTCCTCTACCAAGAGGAAAGATATTGTCCTGCCTATCCTATATATGCCCCTCATAATTTTAATCTTGAAGAGGATGGGCCAAATGGTCATCATCAGGTCATCAATCTCCTCTTCAAGGAAAGCAATCCCAGTGTATCCAATCTCTCTTCATAACTAAAACTCTCCAGTCCAGGCAATATCCTGGTAAATCTGCTCTGCACCCTTTCCTGTGCAATCCAATAATATAGATTCCAGAGCTGTACACAATACGTTATCTGGGGCCTAACCAATGTTTTATACAGTTCCATTATAACCTCCTTGCCTTCTTAATCACTTTATCAACCTGACCCACTACCCTAAGGGACCAGTGGTCGTGCACACCAAGATCGCGCTCATCCTCAGTGCTTTCCAAGCTTTTACCGTTCATCATGTATTCCCTTGCCTTGTTTGTCCTACCCAAGTGCATGATCTGACACTTATCCAGATTGAGTTCTATTTGCCACTGATCAGTTCATCTGACTAGCCACTCCATATTCTCTGTAATCTAAGGCTCTCCTCCTCACCATTTACAACTCCACCAATTTTCATTTTATCTGCGAACTTATTGATTTACCCTCCTACATTCAATTCTAAATCATTCATACATACCACAAGCAGCAAGGACACAAACACAGATCGTTTCAGAACTCCACCAGACAAAAACTTCTTGTCATCAAAGCACCCCTCAACCATCATACTCTGCTTCCTGCCACTCAGTTAATTCTGGATCCAATTAGACAATTTCTTGGATCCCATAGGCTCTTACTTTCAATGTCAGTCTCCTTTGCAGGACCTTATCAAAAGCTTTGCTGTCCAAGAAGACTATTTCAAATGCATTGCCCTCATTTACACAACTAGTCAGCTCTGAAAATCAAGTTGGTCAGATATGACCTCTCATTAACAAAATAATGCTGACTATTCTTGATTAATCCCTATCTCAAAGTGCAGATTAATTCTGCCATTCACAATTGATCCTAATTGTTTCACTGCGGTTAGACTAACCAGCCTCTAGTTTGCTGTTTTAAAAACATAGAAAAACAGGAACATGAGTAGTTGACCTTTGAACCTGCTCTGCCATTCAAGATGATTGTGGCTAATCATCCAACTCAGAACCTTGTTCCTACTTTTGGCCCATACCTTTTGATTTCTTTAGCCCTAAGAACTATATTAATGTCCTTCTTGTGCACATTCAATATTTTGGCCGCAACCATTTTCTGTGACACAGAATCTCACAGGCTCACCACTCTCTTGGTGAAGAAATTTCTTCTCATTCTGGTTCTAAATGGCCTACCCCAGTGAATATAGTCCTAACCAATCAGTTTTTCTTTCAGTTTATCGCTTCCTCCCTTCTTGAATATTAATACTACATTAGTTGTCCTTCAATCCTCTGGTACCTATCTTGTGACTGGAGAGGAATTGAAAATTCCAGTGCCCTTTCTATATCCTCCCTTGCAGGTTGGGATAAATTTCATCCAACCCTAGCGACTTATCTACTTTAAGCCTGCCACATCACTCAAACCCCCTCTCTATCTATGCTAATTTCTTTATTAATAACATAGTCCTTCTCCTTGATTTCTATATCCACAACCCTATCACAAGTGAACACTGGCACAAAGTATTCATTTATAACCCTACCTACATGTTCTAGCTCCATGCACAAATTACCACTGTGGTCCTTCATGGGCTTTACTCTTTCTCTACTTATCTTTTATTTTACCTGCCATTATCTTTTCATGCTCCCTTTCTTTCTGCCCTAATTTCATTTTAAGCCTTCCCTTGCACATTCTATACTCCTCAAGGTTTTCTGCGGTTTTGAGCACTTAGTATCTGCCACAAGTCTCCCTTTTACTCCTTATCCAATCCTGTATATTCCTCGATATCCAGGGTTCACTGGATTTGTTGGGCCCCCTTTATCTTTGTTGGAACATGTTGGCCCTTTACTCACCATATTTCCTTCTTGAATGTATCCCACTGTTCTAACACACATTTATGTAGAAGTATCTGTTCCCAGTCCACTTTGGCCAAATTATACCCAATCTTCTTAAAATCAGCCTTCCCTAGTTGAGAACTTTGATTTCAGGCCCATCCTTGTCCTTTTCCATAACAACCGAGAATCTAACAGAGTTATGGTCACTATCAGCATAAAATCCTTTCCCCCCACCCCCAAAATTGGTACTTCAACCACTTGCCCAGCTTATCAACTAAAACTAAGTACAGCAATGTCCCTGTCTTGTGGGGTTTTATATATATTGTCTTAAAATCTCTCCTGGATGCATATGACACGCTAAGTTAATGTTGAGTAAGTTGAAATCCCCAAAATCAATATCCTTACTACTTTTAGATTTCTCTGAACTTTTACCTGCATATCTGCTCTTCTATTTCTCCCAAACTTTAGGGGGGGGGGGCTATAGTGCACATCCAGCAATATGATTAGTCCTTTTTCTTTCTAAATTCTACCCATATGGCTTCGTTTGTCTGTGTACAGACAGGAAAGCGTGGACTGTTTCTCTGGCTCAGCGTGACACTCCTTATGGACTTGACAATGTGATGTGACTCTCCAGGTCAGGGTAATACCGTGTGCAAGAGATAACAAGGTGTAGAGCTGAATGAACACAGCAGGCCAAGCAGCATCATAGGAGCAGGAAGGCTGACGTTTCGGGCCTAGACCCTTCATCAGAAGGGTCCAGCCTCTGCAGTTCCTACTATCTCTGATACAATTTTAACCCCACTGCTACAATTTTAACCCCACTGCGAAGCCATTTCTGATGAAGGGTCTAGGCCCGAAACGTCAGCCTTCCTGCTCCTATGATGCTGCTTGGCCTGCTGTGTTCATCCAGCTCTACATCTTGTTATCTCAGATTTTCCAGCATCTGCAGTTCCTACTATCTCTAATACCGTGTTCAGACTGGACAGCGTGGAGTGTCTCTTTGGGTCAGGGTAATGGCTTGTATCGCGTGGACAGTAAAGCCGGGAATGCAGAACTCCTGAGGCGTCCCGACCCAAAACCTCAACTTTCCTGCTCCTCTGATGCTGCCTGGTCCGCCTCCAGCTCCACACTGTGTTAGCTCTTGCTCTCTCCCCGCGTTTGTGAAGTGGTTCCTCCTGGTACGTCGTTGAGCATTGACAGCGGATGAGGTTCCCTGTTGTTATTTGTAAATAGACTGATTGAACAGTCGGGGATTGAGGTCGCGCCCACATCACCTGCGCGGGAAGATGCTGAAGGGGGACGTCACCAGGCGCCAGCAAATGCAGTCTTGTGTGGGAGATGCTATGGCTGGTGTCATTCGATGAGGAAAGCTTTCGGGAAACATGAATGAGAAATGTAACAGGCGGCTTCTGTTGCTGGTGTTGGTCGTCTTGTTTGTGGTGATCGTATTCCAGTATGTTTGCCCCGGAGCCAGCTCCTGTCGAATGCAGTGGGGGGACAGAGCCTTACGCTTTAGGCTCTCTCCTCATGGTCAGCGTCAGGGGCCGGAGGAGCGAAGATTCCAGGGCGCGTTCCACTTCACCGAGCGGGAGCTGTGGAGGCGGCTGGATTTTGACATCAAAGGGGACGACGTGATCGTCTTCTTGCACATTCAGAAGACCGGCGGCACCACTTTCGGGAGGCATCTGGTGAGGAACATCCGGCTGGAGCAGCCCTGTGACTGTCGGGCCGGCCAGAAGAAATGCACTTGCCACCGGCCGGGCAAGAGAGAGAGCTGGCTGTTCTCCAGGTTCTCCACCGGCTGGAGCTGTGGGCTGCACGCAGACTGGACCGAGCTAGTCAACTGTGTGCCAGCCCTCATGGAAAACCCACTGCAACGAGACACTCACAGGTGAGGAGCAGGGCAAAGATACAGAGCGGAGCAACCAACCTGGGCCACAGCCTCCCTGGTCATGTCAGCATGGCTCAAGACCTACCCAAGTCATCTTTGTTTTTGTTCAATGTAAATAGCTTTCGGATATAATCGTAATTCAAAATGGCCTGTGAAATTCCTTTAATACATGTACACATTCCAGTGACCATGTTTGTAAAAGATTGGAGGGGTGGTGTGATGGTTTGAGGTTCAAACTCTTGACGTCCCCAAAACTAAATTTGATTTTTAAAGAAAGCTTGACAGGGGTCAGCAGATTTGGTCAGATGTTTAAGATCAACACACCGTTGGAGGAAGGTTCAGCTGCAGCAACACTCTGCGGGGAAAGGAAATACAACTGTAGGCATCTGCTTTTAAAGTTGAAAAATAACAAAACTTTAAAAAGAGATAATATGGTGAACATTGAATGTATTTGAATCCAAAATTTAGTGCCCAATTCAATCCTGATTTGTCTTGTAACAACTCATCAGCTAACAGACAACATGATTTTTTGTTTATTTGCAACTCAAAAGTATCAACTTCATGCCTTTACAGCAACCTGGACGAAGTATCAGAGAGGCATAGAGTCATAGAGATGTACAGCAGGGAAACAGACCCTTTGGTCCAACTCATCCATGCCGACCAGATGTCCTAGATAAATCTAGTCCCATTTGCCAGCATTTGGCCCATATCCCCCTAAACCCTTCCTATTCACATACCAATCCAGATGTCTTTTAAATTTTGTAATTGTACCAGCCTCCACCACTTCATCTGGTAGCTCATTCCATACATGCACCACCCTCTGTGTGAAAAAGTTGCCTCTTAGATCCCTTTAAAATCTTTCCCCTCTCACCTTAAGTCTATGCCCTCTAGTTTTGGACTCCCCCACTACAGGGAAAAGACCTTGTCTATTTACCTTATTCATGCCTCTCATGATTTTATAAACCTCTATAAGGTCAGCCCTCAGCCTCCGATGCTTCAGGGAAAATAGCCCCAGCCTATTTAGCCTCTCCCCATAGCTCAAATCCTCCAGCACTGGCAACATCCTTGTAAATCTTTTTTAAACTCTTTCAAGTTTCACAACGTCTTTCCTATAGCAGGGAGACCAGAATTACACACAATATTCCAAAAGTGGCCTAACCAATGTCCTGTACAGCCATAACATGACCTGCCAACTCATATACTCAAAGCACTGACCAATAAAGGCAAGCATACCAAACACCTTCTTCATGATCCTATCTTTCTGCAACTCCACTTTCAAGGAACTATGAACCTCCACTCCAAGGTCTCTTTGTTGAGCAACACTCCACAGGACCTTACAATTAAGTGTATAAGTCTTGTCCTGATTTGCCTTTCCAAACTGCAGAACCTCATATTTATCTAAATTAATCTTCATCTGCCACTCCTCGGCCCATTGCCTGATCTGATCAGGATCCTGTTGTACTCTTGAGACAACCTGCTTCGCTGACCACTATACCTCCAATTTTGGTGTCATCTGCAATGTTACTAACCAGAACCTAATCACAATTTGCAACCCAGTTTTCAAAGGTATTTAAAATTTGGGGTCCAAATCACTGCCAGCATTCTGAAAGTCAAGGAGCACTGACTCCAAGAGATAGCCAACCACCAAGAAGGCAAGTCTACCTCCCCCATTCCATTCCATTTTATTAGTTGTAAAGATTTGTCTTCAGGATGATATGGGTAGCAAATCAACAATATTCTATTATCACTTGTTTCTGTACAGGTCAACACTGTAGATACTGTCAAACCATTCTCCTATTTTGTTAGACAAGAGTGTGAACAAAACACCAAGCCGTGGATTTTAGCACCAAAAGTTTCTACTTCTTGACGCATTTGAACTCTTATTGCAATAGGGTATTGATTTGTCCAAACCAAGTATGAAACAAAATGAACTGAACATTACAGAGGGCTCTATTTGCAAGTCTACAATGTATTTATTGTGAACAGGTTCTGTTTGTTTCACAAACAGGTCTTATAAAGCCATCTCAAACTGGTAACTACTCTTCAAAACTCAAACTAAAAGTTGTAAGATGTATCTGAATTACGAGTGAATCTGCCCCCAGGTACATAAAAAGTATGTGCATTTCCATACAATATTCTCTGACTGCATTCTAGCATAATCTTCGGAAAAAAAAACAACCACACGCTTAAAGAATAAAAACTTCAGAGTCATTTTTCACAGTTGTTGGAATTATGTTTAAAATCCAATTATGACAGTTGAACGTAGTAAGACCTTTTTGCATTGGCCTGTCAACCATCTTCCCCTAGAGTTCACAACCCCTCTCAGCAAACCCAGTAACAATATGGGTCCAACTTGCTAAAATTGGAGGAGAGCAAAGAACATAGCACAGGAACAGGTCCTTTGGCCCTCCAAGCCTGTGCCACCATGTTTTTTGCCTTCCATACTAAAACTGTCTTCACTTGCAGGATCGGTATCTCTCTATTCCTTTCCTATTCATGTATTTGTCTGAGTGCTTCTTGAATGCTGCTATTGTGTCTGCTTCTACCACCTCTTCTGGCAACACGTTCCAGGCACTCACCACCCTTTGTGTGAAAAACCTGCCTCGCACATCTCTTTTAAACTTCCCACCTCACACCTTGAACCAGTGTCCCCTAGTAATTGACCCCTGGGAAAAAGCCTCATACTTTCCACTCTATCCATACCATTTACAATCCTATAAACATCTATCAGGTTGCCCCTCAACCTCCTGCGTTCCAATGAAAATAAACCCAGTCTATCCAAACTTTCTTCACAGCTAAAATCTCCTATACCAGGCAACATCCTGGTAGACCTTTACTGTACTCTCTCCAAAGCATCCACATCCTCCTGGTAGTGTGGTGACCAGAACTGTATGCAATATTCCAAGTCTGGCCTAACTAAAGTTCTATAAAGCTACAGCATAATTTGTCTATCCTTGTACTCAGTGCCCCTTCCAATGAAGGCAAGCATGCCATAAGCCTTCTTTACTACCTTATCAACCTGCGCTGCCACCTTTAATGATATGTGGACCTGCATATCCAGATCCCTCTGCATATCAATACTCCTAAGGGTTCTGCCATTCACTGTATACTTTCCATCTGTACTTGATCTTCCAAAAAGCATCATCTCACATTTGTCCGGATTAAACTCCATCTGCCATTTTTCTGCCCATGCCTCCAACTGATCTATTTCCTGCTGTATCTTCTGACAATCCTTCTCACTATCTGCACTCCAATCTTTGTATCGTCCACAAACTTACTAATTAGACCAATTATGTTTTCCTCCAAATCATTTATAAAGACCATGAACAGCAGACGTCCCAGCACTGATCCCTATGGAACACCACTAGTCATAGCCGTCCATTTGGAAAAGCATCCTTCCACCACTAACCATGCTTCCTATGACTAAGCTAGTTCTGTATCCATCTTGCCAACTCACCAATGATACCATGTGACTTTACCTTTTGTACCAGTCTGCCATGAGGGACCTTGTCAAAGGCTTTACCTAAGTCCACGTAGACAACATTCACCGTTTTTCCCTCATGAATCATCTTTGTCGCCTCCGCAAAAACTCGATCAAGTTAGTGATGCAGGACCTCCCTCACACAAAACCATGCTGTCTATTGCTATTAATTCTACTTGCTTCTTAATATGTATAGATCTTGTCCCTGATAATCTTTTCCAATAATTTCCCCACCACTGACAAGAGACTTACAGGTCTATAGTTTCCAGGATTATCCCTGCTACCCTTCTTAAACAATGGGAGAACATTGGCTATTCCCCAGTCCTCTGGGACCTCACCTGTGGCCAAAGAGGATACAAAGATGACTGTCAATGCTCCAGCAATTTGTTCTCTTGCTTCCCTCAGTATTCTGGGATAGATCCCATTAGGACCCAGAGACTTATCTACCGTAATACTTTTTCAGACAGACAACACCTCTTCCTTTTTAATAGCAACTTGGCTTAGAAATCGACTCTCCCTTCCCTGAGATCATCCTCCACCATTTCCTTCTCTTTGGTGAATATCAACAAAAGTATTTGTTTAGGACCTCACCTACCTCTTCTGACTCCACACATAGATTCTCTCCTTTGTCCTCGAGTTGGCCAATCCTTCCCTCGGCTACCCTCTTGCTATTTATATAGGTATAAAAAACCCTGGGATTCTCCTTAATCCTGTTTGCGAACAGGATCTAAATTATAGACCTCCACAAAGGAACATGATGAGTTGGATTATTGAAGACCAGTGAGCATCCTGAATCCTAACCTGGGCCATAAAAATCCCACACCAACGGAACAGTGACTGGAATTCTGGAATCAGGTTCTACTCACCAATTTTAAATCCAGCCAGCCTGCCTTCATTCCAACACTGATGGAGGTGTGAGAATTTGGGTTGATGTGCCTGAACAATTTTCCACTTTGTCTGGGCAATTTCCAAGTTTGTAGCCATTCTAGAACAGCTTGGCATGAGGTTGTAGCTTTGGAGCACAGGTCTGCAGTACTATACTCAAGATGTCTTCTGGGGCATAACTTTTGCTGAATCCAGTGTGCAAAGCCATTCTTGATATCAAATAGATTGATTTGAATTAGCACCAGCTCCATTTCCCAGGTGTGGGATTCCTCTGGTTTCTATCTCGCTCCTTTCTTAAATATTTGCAAAACAAAAACAAAACTGCGAACAGTGGAAATCTGAAACAAAAACAGAAATTTCTGGAGAAACTCAGCATGACTGGCAGCAGCTATATAGAGAAAGCAGAGTCTATATTTCAAGTCCATTGACAATTCTTCAGTTCCGGTGATGGTGGTTAAGTTCATCCCTCCCTATCACCTCTTGATTTTCAATTATCATTTGGAGATGTTCTAAGTCATTTATCATGAAGATAGACACAATATGCCTGTTCAAAGCCTTCACCTTTTTATCGTGGGAATGCTGGATGACTACAGACATTGAGGTTTTGGTCAAGAATAAGCAAGAAGCATATGTC